TTTAAAAAATCAAACCAGCAACCCCCTCAGAAGGATTGGAAAATTAATCCTGATGAGAGGCTGCCAGTTATTGGAATAGGAAGCACAAATATATTTTAATATGAAATTGGCAAGCAAGGATTTCTCACTATCATGCAGTGAGGTAAGAGTATGTGGATGGAAAATTTGAAAAGTTGCATCTATCCATGGTATTTCCTGCCCAGCTGTGTGGAATTTATGGACTTTCTGTTTGGATGCAGATAAAATGGATGGGTAAAATCAGTACTTTACAGTTGAAAGCTGTCTTTGAGTTTACAGAGGGCACATCCCAGCCCAGCCCCGAGGCCTGGAGGAGGGGAGCTCCAGGCTCCGGGTTGGGATGAGGGAAGCAGGAGGATCCTGCTGCTGCAGGCAGCAAAGGTCCCTGTCTGCACGGGCACCTCCTTTACAGCTTCCCAAACTGAGCCCCTGCTTAAGGGACACAGAGGCCATATGAGTATTCACATTTATCTAAAGCCATCTAGTGAGAACCTGTCCTCATTTTGTCTGATATTCATGAGCAGGCATCCCTCCATCCTGACTGGGAAAGGGGGAGGGTGGGAATTTATCTCACATAAATCCCGGGGTGTCCTGTCTAATATTTATAGCCAGCACAGAATGGCTTTTCCTCCTGAGCTGCAGAAATAAACCTGTCAGCTCCAAAGATGGCCTGGTATTTAATCACCTCCCTGCCTGATTTCAAACAGAGACAAAAGGCACAATAAAATATTTGCCATTGATCCCTGGGATGCAATCAAGGACCATAAGAAGCTGAGGATGCTGCTGCCACCCACCCTGGTTCCCACACCAAGGGGAGGTGCTGGACAGCCTCGATTTCCCAGGGTTTTGTCCCAAACCAGTGGCACAGCCACAATCCCACCGGCCTTGCAGGCATCTCCCGGGCAAGCCTGACCTTCCTGGTGCTGCTCTGGGCCAGGAAATCGGCTCCTTGCTCCCTGGGCAGGATCAGGGCTCTTCTGGCAATCTCAGTCAGGGGAATTTGGGTCACAGCACGCCCTGGGCCACACTGGGGGTGCCTGTGCTGGCCAGGGGGCAGTGGGGCCTTTCACTTGTGTTTGCTCCACTTTGGGATGCTCCAGCACGTCCTTTATCCCTGCTGCTGCCAAAGGGAGCATCCACTGCGAGGGCTCCTGGTGCGGGACCCTCCCTCCCCTCGGGAGAAAGCCAAGCTCCTGCCTAACACCCCAAAACCAGAGGCTGAATGAACAGTCTGGGAAATGCCAGAGCCTTTGCAGCGCCCTGGCTCTCCCAGAGCAAACCCTGACTGGATTAGCAGAGGTGTTTAACCTCAGCACATCCACCTGCCCAGTGTCAGCCCCCCAAACCTTAAATTCCATCTAATTAGGAAATGACTTATGCAAACGTTAGAACTCACCCTGCACAGGCTGAACCAAGGTACAAAGCCCCCCGTGCATGGAACTGCTCTTTTTACACAGCCAGGTCTGCAAGTGGCGTTTCAATATTAATTAACTCCGAGCAGTTAGGGGGAAATTAATTTATGCAATTAAAATTATTAGATTACAAGCCATTTTTAACCCCCCCCCCCCCATGCTGTTGTGAATAATCCTGGGCTCTGCTGTGTGATTTCAGTGCTTTCAAAATGAGACTTTTCAAATCACTAGGTTTTATGTAAAGTAAAGGAGTAATTAGATACCAAAAACAATAATTATCTCAACGAGAGACAGGGAGAGCAGGGGAGTGTAAATATACTCCCAGGGTAACTGCAGACCCAGGAAAGGAATTGTTATGCACCAGCCAGAGCAGGGAGCAGCCAAGCAGAGCCCCACGTCAGAACCACCAAAGACAAGGCAGCCCCTGATCTGTCTTGTTCCTGGCTCTGTGATAAAGGTTAATCAAGCTCAAAGCAGCTCAGGAGCTCCTGGGAATTGAGGAATTGGCTCCGAGCTCCAGCCAGGCGCGGGCTGGGAGTGCTGGAGCTCCTGGCAGGGTGTGGATCCTCCCCAGCAGCAGGGCTGGGCAGGCACTGGGAGCCCCCTGGAGCCCCCGCACCCCCTGAGCCCCAGCCCAGCCCGCAGAGGGGCCGCAGAGCCACGGGAACCTGGCCAGGAGATCCGCGGTGCTGCAGCACAGGGGCTCTGTGCACCAGGAGGGGCTGAGCTCACACCAAACACCAACTCCTGCTGCCTCTGAGAGGCAAAGGGAGCCTGGGGACAATTTGGATGGGCTCTGCTCCCCTTGGCTGCTGTTCCCAGGGCTGAGCAGGGGCTGCAGAAGGGGAAGGCTGGAGACAGGTGGGGGCTGACTCCCAGCCCTCATTTGCATCTTATTCCTTATTTTGAAGCTCTGGATACAGACAATTACTGCAGCCTGACCTTTACAGATGCTAACTGTAAAAAAATAAAAGAAAACAAGATAGACTTAAGCCAAGGCAAAGAGCCAGGCCAGCACCAGCCCTGTGTGCAGCAGCACTTGGCTCTGGTGTGGCCACCAGGGCAGTCCCGGGTCACCAACACTGGGCCACATCCCCCCTGTCACCCCCAAACGCTCCAAGCCCCGTTCCCATCCCTGTGCTCCGCCCTGTGCTCACGGCTGACACCAAAGAAGCAGCTTTTTCCAGCACAGAGGCACTGCTGGGGAAATATCAGCTATCAGCAGGTACCTGAGTTGTCTTAATCCTCCCTAAATCCCAAATCAGCTGCTGTTAATCTCCCTGTCCTATCAAACAGGGAATTTTTGTGAAGCGACAGCCGGCAGCTTACAGTCCCCCTCTCCTGCCAGGGCTGGTGTCAGAGGGATTTCTAAAGAAAGGAGACATTTAAAACAGCACAACATTTGCAGAGTTTAAAGCAGCAGAGCAGTAAGGAAGTGCTTTTGGTGGAATTCAGTTGTTTTTCACTGCAAAGCACCAAACAGCGACGCTCTGCCCCTGCCCAGGGCAGGCAGTGACACTGGGGAGCTGCTCAGGAGGAGAGAGATGGGTGCAGGGGACACAGCAGCAGCAGCTTCACTGAAAATGGACACAGAGGTGGGAGATGGCAGAAGATATGGAATCAGGAGACAGGCACTTGTGCAGAATAACCCAATGGTGCCCCTTCAGTGAACCCGGGTATGGACCAGGATCCCCCCAGAGCTGGAGCTCATGGATCCCCCTTGTACCTCAGCATCCCTGGCACAAGGGTCAGATCCCAGCCCCAGACAAATCACGGGGCACAAACAGCCCCAGACCTTTCAGAGCGCTGCACTGTGATACCAAAGCTCCCCCAGTAAGGCTGTTCCCTACTGGTGCAGAGCCCTGAGGGTTCCCTGCCCTCCCAGGGAAAGGCAAGCAGCAGAAAGCCGGGCTCCTGCGCTGCCCACCCCGTGTCTGCCCGCTCTGGGCAGGAGGGAGAGCAGCCACTGCCCCTCTGAGCCGTGGGCACAGCCCGGGCACAGCCCTCACACAGCAGGGCAGCTCTCAGCAAGGACAGCACCCTGCAAAGGTGAGCCTGCCAAAAAACATCTGCCCGAAATTCGGCTGTCCGCCCCAGACACAGGCAGGGCAGCCCCGGGGCGAGGGGCAGCTCCCCAGGCCAGCATCCCTGCCCCATCCCCGGGGCTGTGGAGGCTCTGCACAGCCACCACAGGGGTTCCACTGCACTGGGATCAGCCAGGAAAGGAGCTGTGGGAGGGAAAAACCTGCTGGAGCAGAGAGGCACAGAGACAGAGCAGAGCTAAAGCACCCTCCAGCAAAGGAACTCCCACTCCACGTTTTCCCTGAAAGCAGAGTTTTTCCAAGCACTCAAACGAGCAGGGTATCTGTAAAGCAGAGGAAAAGGAAGGTTGTTATGGGCAGAGGGACAGGCAGGCTGCAGGAAAACACACGGAGCATTCCTGGACTCTGAGCTGACCTGCAGGAGGATTAAGGAATGTCCCCACACCCATCACAGATGTCAGCCACGAGAGCAGATTTGGGGTGGATTCAGCTCTCTGGGAAGCACCAGTGCCCAGCTGGGGCACTGCAGCCAGGGCACCCGGGGGAAGCACAGAACAGTGCAAGCCTCGAGGACTTGGAGCACCAGAGAGACTCGGACACTGCTGTGACCCTGCCAGTCCCCCAGTGACAAAGAGAGAGAAACGGAGACATCCAGGAGGGACATCCCTGCTCCCATAGGGGCAGGGAGAGCAGGGACAGCATGGAGTCAGGCAGAGTTCAGGGGCACAGAGCAGCACCGTGGGCAGGGACACCCCCACGGGGGTCAGGCTGCAGCCCTGCACTGGTGTCACTGCAAACACAGGGACAAGGAGCACCCCAGCATTCCCGGCTCTTTGACAAACAGCTCCCATTGCTGCTGCCTCCACCTGGGTTTGCCCATTCCCCCCACTGCACTCCCAGATCTCCCAGCAGAGCCAGGCTGGGCTGGGGAGGAGCAGCCAGGGGATCCCGGAGCCAGGCTCAGCCTCCTCCCGCCCGGAGAGAGGCTGTGCTGAAACCCATCCCCCTGCCCACCCAGGCACACTGAGCTCAGCTCAGCAGCGAAATGAAGTGGGATTACAGAAAAGAAATACCCAAGAAAAAGGGAGGAAAAACCCAACAAACCGACAGATGACAAAACAGACAGGCTGCAACCCAAAGGGGTCCAGGAACTGAAAGTGGGGAGCTCCCACCCCTGCAAGCCAGAGCTGGGACCAGGCATCGGGGACTGCTCCTGCAGAGCTGCCAGGTCCAGGGAACACGGCCACAAGGAGACAGGGACTGCCAGGAGGAGCAGCCAGCGGGGCTGGGACAGGCCCTGAGGGCACCTGGCAGTGGGACAGTGAGGGGACCTGGCAGTGGGACACTGAGAGGACCTGGCAGTGGGACAGTGAGGGGACCTGGCAGTGGGACACTGAGGGGACCTGGCAGTGGGACACTGAGGGGACCTGGCACTGGGACACTGAGGGACCTGGCAGTGGGACACTGGAGCCCTGGCACCGGGACACTGAAGGAACCCCGGCACTGCCCCGGGGCCTGGCACACTTACAGCCTTTGGCTTGAAGGGGGGCTGGATCTCCTTGCGCTCCAGCTTGTCCCAGTCGATGTAGCGGAAGAAGGCGTGCTCCTTGATGTCCCGCTCCCCCTCGGGGCCGCAGCCCAGGCGCTTGGCGGGGTGCTTGGTCATCAGCTGGGGACAGGAGGCAGCAAACGGTCACGGCGTGTCCCCCTGCTCCCCAGTGTCCCCTCTGAGAGTCCCCAGGGAGCTGTTTCCCAGCTGGACACCCCCATCAGGCCCCACTCCTGCAGATGCTCCCAGGAGAGGCCACTGAGGAAGAAGCTGGAGTGACTCAGGGCCAGGGGAGGCTGACAGTGCTGTACCAGAGCAGACTGTGCATCTGCAGGTACACGAGCGCTGGTGGGGTGGGCACTCCCCCTTCCCATCTGGGAATGGAACTGGTTTGCCAAGGAACAAGCCCGGGGAGCTGGCAGGGCTCCCTCAGCACCTGGCTGCAGCAGGGGCTGCCCAGCGGTACCTCAGCTTGGCACAGACCTCTCAGCATCTGCAGAGTTAACTGCAAACCCCACTGCCCCTTTAAGGTGGCCAATCTGCCCTCCAAAACTTCCAGCAGCCCTGGAAGCAGAGCCCCCTCACCTCCGGAGCTGTGGCAGCACAGACACGAGGTGGATTTCTAATGAGAGAGTCAATTTAGAGAAAAAATTGCACAAACAGTCCATTAATGTTGTTTATCATCTAAACTTCTCCTCTCCACTGGCTCAAGAAGGGAAAGGGGCCCCAGGAACTGCAGACAGCTGTACAACATTAATATCCTGGGGTAGGGTTTGTTCAGAGATCAGATGGAGATTCCAGGGATTCACAAGCCGGTGATAAGGATGGAGAAGATGAGCTTTATACAACAAAAGCACTGCTTTATTAAAAGCAGGGCAGCTCATCCTGGTGCTGGGCTGTGCAGCACGCCTGGCTCTGTGTCCCAGGGCTGGGGGTCTGTGACAGCCCTGGCAGGGACAGGAGGAGCTGGGGCACCTCCCAGCAGCCCTGCCATCCCCTGGGCACAGAACAAACTTGCTCAGGAAAGCCCACCTTTAACAGCTGAACAGGGCACTGAAAGCAAGGGAAACCCTGGGGAAAAAACCCCAAACCTAAGACCCTGAAAAGACAAAAAATCTCCGACAAATACAAGGTGAGAGCAGAGCCACCAAGTGCCCGGTGAGCAAACAGATCTGCATCCCTGGCTCCAGCTGTGGCAGCATCTGCAGCTGGAAAAGAGATGGAGAGCAGCTTCCATGAGGTAGCATCTCCTTGGAAAGGCCTTCCACAAACAGCAAGGGCCTGGACAGCTCTGCAGGCTGGGCCAGGGATTTTCCAGCCTCTGCTCAGGGCGAGGATGTGACTGGCATCAGCATCAGCCTTGCAGAGCCCGTCCTCAAGCAGGGAGCCAGGCTGGAGGGGCGGGGAGGGAGAGGCCAGGGGTCACCAGAAACAACAGCAAGATTATCTTTCCAGCTTGTTTTTCATTAATAATTGAGTTTCCCTTGGCATTGCAGCACACAGCCCTCTATAAAATAAAAGCCCAAGAACAAATCCCAGAAGCCTGGGAAGGTGGCAGAGGTGAGATGTCCTGGCCTCTCGAACACTGCAGCAGCAGCACGGACTGCAGCCCTGGTGGGCCTTCCTCAGGCAGCAGCACCGGGGGAAATGCCACCCAAAACACCTGCAACTACTCCCAAAATACTGTGGAAAACATCCCGTGCCTTTGCCATGGGGCAGAGATTACAGAGGGAGCTGGCAGGCACAGAGGAGCTGCTGCCCTGGCAGGGGCTGCTCTGCTCAGGCCCCACCAAACCCCTCCTGCGGGGTGGGAAAGGCTCTGGGAGCCAGCCTGGGGCTCAGAGAGGTGCCCTGAGCCCCTGAACATGGGAAAACGGAAACACTTAGATCCCACCCTAGCAAAAATTTCTTAAATCCCACACAGAGTTTTAATTAAAGTTTCTGGTGTAGCACTTTGGTGGTGCAAAAATCATGCCCTGCTCCAGCCCTGAGCCCGGGCCCTGCTCCAGCCCCTCTGCCCCAGGGCCCTGCTCCAGCCCTAAGCCCGGGCCCTGCTCCAGCCCTGAGCCCGGGCCTTTCTCCAGCCCTGAGCCCGGGCCCTGCTCCATCCCTGAGCCCGGGCCTTTCTCCAGCCCTGAGCCCGGGCCCTGCTCCAGCCCTGAGCCCGGGCCTTTCTCCAGCCCTGAGCCCGGGCCCTGCTCCAGCCCTGAGCCCGGGCCTTTCTCCAGCCCTGAGCCCGGGCCTGCTCCATCCCTGAGCCCGGGCCCTGCTCCATCCCTGAGCCCGGGCCTGCTCCATCCCTGAGCCCGGGCCCTGCTCCATCCCTGAGCCCGGGCCTGCTCCATCCCTGAGCCCGGGCCCTGCTCCATCCCTGAGCCCGGGCCCTGCTCCATCCCTGAGCCCGGGCCTGCTCCATCCCTGAGCCCGGGCCCTGCTCCATCCCTGAGCCCGGGCCTTTCTCCAGCCCTGAGCCCGGGCCCTGCTCCATCCCTGAGCCCGGGCCTTTCTCCAGCCCATCTGCCCCAGGGCCGGGGATGCTCAGCAGCTCTGTGTGCCCCCCATCCCTGCCTGACCAGGGACACGCTGGGTTTTCCCTTGACATCCCAAACACCAGCAAGGGGATGGGAGATCCTGGCAGCCTCTGTGGGAAATCCCCACCAACCACCCAGTGGTTTCTGAATGAAGGACTTGATTTTCCTGCGCCCTGCTGACTGTGGCAGGGCAGCACCCCCTCCCTGTGCCCCTTCCAGGTGGGAACTCCTGCAGCAGCTTTTCCCCATGGGACGAGTGAATATTCCTCTTTAACACCAGCTCAGAATCCTGGCAACGCCAGGAAGAGGCTCTGAAATGCCGCAGTGGGAGCGTGAAGCGCAGGATGTGTCATTTGGAGATAGAAACACTATTTTGAGATAGAGAACATTCAGATATTTTCAATATTAACTATTATAAGCAAACATTTCTTAAATTCCTACACAAACACTTATTTATAGCAGCATGTGGCGCTGGGGGTGAGATGAGGCTCAGTCCCAGGCACACAGAACAACATCAGGACCTCGCTGGCCTTTATCCATCACATGCCAAATTAACTCGGGCTGCAATTAAGTCAGGCCTAGGCCCTGTCCATGGAGAGCCCAGCTCGGTGTGCTGGGCAAGGCAGATCTTTGCTGCAAATTAAGAGACAGGATAATGAAAATGCTGCCCTGATCTCCTGGAGACACCAGCAGAGCTTCAGGTTGTCCTGAAGGGCAACTTATCACAGCTAAGTGGAAGGATGAAGGGTTTGTATCTGATCTTAGGAAAACTGTTTGGGAATCACATCCATTTTCCCTGAGCATCATTTTTCAGTTCAGGCAAAGGTTCACAGAGCTGCCCTGTCCTCACCTGGTGGGGCACAGGGTGTCTGGGCAGGAGCCCTCCCCTTCCCACCCTCCAGTCAACACCCTGGTTCTCTCCTGGCCCTGCCCTGCCCCAGTCCCAGCTTATTTCTGCCCAGTGTGGGGGGCACGGGGAGGATGCAGGTGTTATTTTACCTGGGTTTAGTACCCACACAGCAGCACAAGTTGTGGCTTTAGCACTGGAGGGCACAGGCACCCAAACCCGAGAGTGTCAGACCGGCCATGCTGGGGGCAGCGGGGTGGGCTGGGACCCCAGGGTGCAGGCTCTCCCTCCCCACACCCCCCAGCCCAGCAGAGCACCAGGCCAGCTCTTACCCCTTTGCAGATGGCCACTGCCTCCTTGGACATGGACTTGGGGTAGGCGACGTTGTGCTCCATGATGGACTGGAAGAGCTCGTCCTCATCTTCTCCCTCGAAGGGGGCCTAGAGCCAAGCAGGCACAGCTTCAGGGGCGTCCCTGGATCCCACAGCTCCGGGGGTGCTCTGCTCCTGGCCACGGCACCAGCCCCGGGCGTGCCACACGAGTCCTGTCACTGCAGTCCCGGGGCTGTGCCACCAGGGTCACCCCCAGCTCCAGGAGCTGCCCCGCACATGCCAAACCCCACAGCAGCTGTGCCCACATGGGACACAGCCCAGCCCAGGGGAATCGATTCAAACTCGGTCACCTGGCCAGCCAACATCTCATAGAGCAGCACTCCGAACGCCCACCAATCCACCGACTTCCCATAGGGCTGGTAGGCAATGATCTGCAAACAACAGCAAAAACAACAGTGCAGTGTCAGCAACAGCCGTGTCACAGCCCAGCTCTGACACAGGGCACAGCCTCTCCAGCTGCAGCGGGGCACAAGGACGGGGCTAATCCCTGGGACACACTTCAGCACCGAAATCCCTCCCCGAGGGACCCCAACCCTCCCCTTCTCTTCACCAGCGCCCTGGGAAATTCAGTTTGGGTGGGAGCAGCTCACACCATAAAGGCCTTTGAAAGGAAAGAGCGCTTGAAAGAAATCCCCTGTCCTGTGCATGGTTTGGGAAGGTCACAGCCCCGCAGGTGACACAGCCCCGCAGGTGACACAGAAGGTGACACAGCCCCGCAGGTGACACAGCCCCGCAGGTGACACAGCCCCGCAGGTGACACAGCCCTGCAGGTGACACAGCCCTGCAGGTGACACAGAAGGTGACACAGCCCCGCAGGTGACAACCAGCTGTGCTCAGAAGGGGTCACACACGGGCCGTGCAGGCTGTCCCTGTCACCTGGCATGCTGAGCCCAGCCTGGAATAGGCAAAGGCCCAGCAGTGGGCCAGGCAAAGGCAGGACAGGCTGCAGGCAGAACTGCAGGACAGTTTCACCTGCAGCCACGCCGGCCCGAGCACACTGCAGCTCAGAAGCACAGAGCAGCAGAAGGGCCCGGGCTGGAGCGTGGCCGTGGCACCACAGCCACACAGCCAAACGCAGTGGGATTGCACCTCTGGGAGCCCCGGGCAGCAGGCTTTAATGCCCTCCCTGGAGGCCAAAGTGATTTGCATCCTAATTTCCCATTTGCTGTTCTTCTTTCGGAAAAAGACAAATTACAGCAAGGAGAAGGAAATAAGAGTTAAAGTGAAAACGCTTGGGCAAACACACGGAGAGCTGGTCATTTGTCCTGCTCTGAAGGAGCATTAATCACCCACAGTCACAAGCTCTGCACCAGCACCACCAGAATTAATCCTGGAGTGATGAGGGATGGAGCACACGTTGGATCCAATAATGGGAAACCTCACTGCCTGCAGCAGGCACAATGTGGTTTAGCACACAAGTGCATTGATGTCCTAGCAAAGAGAATCTTTCTCTAAAACATTTAAATGAATAAATATCAACTTCATCATTGCAAATTCAGCAGAATGACATAAGTTTAGAGGAATACTTTTAAGTGAAGGGAACAAACATTTGGGAATAATTACCCCTCTGAATTGCACACGTCTGGCATTAAACCGTGCCCATACAGCACTTCATGGAAGTGTCATGTGTGACTCTATCACATCAGTAATAACGGAATGCAAAGTCATTTTGTGGGGATCTAGAGCCATGGATGGGGAGCCTCTCCCCTTCAGACACACGGCCCCTCACTGCCAACAGTAAGCTGGAGAGAGCTAAGGATTCCCACTCCACATGAAAATATTATCCACTGACACCTCCCTGTTTCTCAATGGTCATGGTGTGCTGGACCCTTCTATCACACAGAGCAAGGGGCAGAGCTGAGCTCCGGGGTTTGTCCTTCCCAGGCCAAGGGAGCAGGTGAGGAGCAGCCTGCAGTGGGTCTGAGCATGCCAAGGACAGAACAGGCACAGAGCTGGCAGCAGGGTGGACACGGGAGAAGCCCCAGTGAGGGAAAGCACACTGCAGGGAGAGCAGCACGAGGCTGTGCTGCCCTTTGAGGTGGAAGCAGGACACGACACAACAGGGAGGCAGATCCAGCATCCCCGTTCCCTTAGGGGGACGTGGGGATGCACAGTGCTGGGGGCAGGAACTCTGCGGGCTGATGGAGAATCCCTGACACCCGTTTCAGCTGGAAAGCTGCCCAGAGCAAGGTCACCCCACAGAGTGCAGGAGCAGCAGGAGCACCGGGATCACCGGCCGCTTCCGTCCGTACCTCGGGCGCGATGTAGTCCGGGGTGCCACAGAAGGTCTTGGTGGTCACCCCGTCCCAGATGTTCTCCTTGCACATGCCAAAGTCGGCGATCTTTATGTGTCCCTCGCTGTCCAGCATCACATTGTCCAGCTTCAGGTCTCTGCAGGGCGAGAGCAGAGCCGTGACACAGCGCAGAGCCCTGCTGGGCTGGGCCCTGCCCGCCTCACACCCAGGCCCTTTGTAGGAAAATATTCGGGGAAACGAGTGAAAATAACCCAGAGATCTGTCAGGATGGAGTGCTGATTTTACTTTTAACCCACAGGAATGCTGTGCTGGGCACAGCGCTTTGAAGTGAGCGATGGAAAGCACTCATCTGGCAGGAGACTGATTTAATTGATTTTTTTCTTTCACTCCTGTGAAAATCAAAGTGCACTTAGAGCTCTCGTGGTGGAGAAGCACCTACTCAGCACAAGGCCCTGCCTCACCTGTGCTCTGCCTCCCTGAAATACAAGCCAGCTGTGTTTGCCTCTGATCCTCAGCCCAGAATATCTGTTTGTGGTACCCAACCCTCAGGAGCTCCGCTCCTTTGCCCAAACTGTCGAGGTGGATCCAACCGCAGATCCCTGGATGCTCCAGCCTCAAGGACACTTCTGTAGCAAACACTGGGGATTTTGGTGCAGTTTAGACGTTCCTGCTGGGTTCAAGGCTGTATTTTCTAATTATCATGCCAGTGCTCAGAGCCCTGACAGGCCTGAGGCAGCCGGACATGAGCTGGGATTCGGATCCAGAGGAAGGAAGGAAGAGGAGCCACTGGGGACCAACAGACCTAGAATCTCTCCGTAGCAGCTGATAGCAAAAACCAGCCCTCACATCAAGTTTGTTCTACTTCCTTCATCTTTAGCATCTCCTGACTCCAGCAGCACTGTTGGCATCTCCCTTTCCAGAGCCCTTAATGGGATCTGACACTCATTGGGATGCTCTGCTCCACCCTGGGCTCTGGGAACTCTCCAGGGCAGGGAAGAGCGCTGGTTTCAGAGCTCGAGCAGCAGCCTGTGAGCCTGGTCCTGCCCCTGGCAGTGACCCAGCTGCCTCTGGGCGCTGGAATCACGCTGGGAACGGCAAAGAAGCCTCAGTGGCTGAAGCAGAAGTGACAGAGCGGCACCAGCCAGGGGCAATTGTAAGAGAACAGTGCCCTGCAGCCAAATTCGGGGCTGGGAGCTGGTCCAGGCTGCCAGGGAGAATTTGTGCTGTGTGGAGAGGAACACACGGAACAGGAGAGAACCAGAGCTGCCTTCCCATGAAGCGGGATAAAGCAGGAACCTCCCCCAAACCAGGGGCACCCCACGGCTCCCAGCTCCCTTCTGGGACACATCACGGGTCCATGGCTGGGCTCAGTGATCCCACAGGTCTTTTCCAGCCTTAAGGATCCTGTCATTTGTCATTGCACCTGCGGGCAGCTGCCAGAGCCCGTCCGTGGCACGGGCAGGGAGAGCGCCGGGCTGGGGCAGGGCAGGAGCCCGGAGCAGCCTCTGGAGCCTGGGGAAAGGGAGGGAGGGAGAGGAACGCGCTCACCTACCGATAAATGATGCCTTTGCTCTGCAGGAAGAAGAGCCCGATGGCGATTTCTGCTGCGTAGAATCTGAAAGAGGAGGTTTAAAAGGAAGACTGGTAATGAAAGGAGATAAATGAACACCTTCCCAGTCAGGTGGCAGCGAAGGAAAGGCATCGGGCAGATGTGACCGAAGGCCAGGGCAGCCACGGCAGGGAAATTCCAGAGGAGGATCACAGGGGAGGCTCCGAGGGAGCCGGAGCTGGCAGCGATGGCACCGGGCTGCTGGGGGCTGTCACTTCTGGCTGCACAAATTCAGCAGAGCCACGGCTGCTCCTCCTGACACGCCGCTGTGGCTCAGACAGTCATCCCTGCTCCGAGCCAGCGGGCTCTGCCATGCTGCGGCTCTGCCACGCTGCCCGTGGGCATATTCTGGGTCTGAGGGCTCTGCCAGACACCCGTTCAGCCCACCAGGCTCTGCTCAGCGTTCGTGGGTTTGCTGGGAGCATCTGGAGGCTCTCAGGAACACATCCTGCTCTGCCCAGCTCTCAAGGAGCAGGAGCCAAGAGCCCCCAGTTAACACTCGGGGTGGCCACCCTGGCAGAGAAGCCAAACCCTGCCTCGTCCCCTGGGAAAGGACCAGGCAGGGCAGAGGCCTGGTGGCTCCCAGGAGGCCTCCACACCTCCCTGCCTTGTGCCTTTATCTACCTGCATTTATCTATTTAGCTCAATTGCTCACCAGTACAATGTGCCCCGAGGGTGAGGTGGAGGCACCAGCATCAGACAGAATTCTTCTGCATCCTCCCGCTCCTGATTCCTGCCCAGGAGCTGCTCTGCAAAGCCTGGGACTCTGTTTCCATCCCTGTGGCACAGGTGCATCCCGTACCTGCCCCAGGGGTGCCAAACCCTGCACTTACACAGCGTGGGGCTCCTTGAACCTCCCGACCTGCTGGATCTGGTACATCAAGTCCCCGCCGTTCACGTATTCCATCACAAAATACAAGCGATCCTGAGGGAAGAAAAACGAGCCATTAGCACGGGATTGTCAGAGCAGGGAACCTGCAGGGCTCAGAAACAGGAACCCAGGAAGGGAAGCTGGAGCACTGCAGGAGCTGCAGGCTGGCAGCATTACAGAACAAAACATTTCCCAGTGCTCCTTTCCTCCTTGAATAAGGCCAGGAAGGACAGGGAGCCCACGAGAGGTGCAGCTGGAGCACTGCCATAACCAGGGCTGAGGGGAAACCGGGGGGCAGCACCCACGGGGCATTTCCCAAGCTGGCAGTGCCCACCAGAGGATCCTGGCTCAGCACTCACAGGATGTTTCCCAGGCTGGCAGTGCCCACCAGAGGAATGGGGTGCATCACCCACGGGGCATTTCCCAGGCTGGCAGTGCCCACCAGAGGAATGGGGTGCATCACCCACGGGGCATTTCCCAGGCTGGCAGTGCCCACCAGAGGATCCTGGCTCAGCAGCTGCTGCCCCAGCAGAGCCCCCCAGCTGTGGGGCAGCCCCAGGGGATGGAGCACAGCAGCACGGGGGCAATGGGGCCGTGTAAAACACTGGCACTGATGGGATGGAGAGGGGAATTTGGTTTTTCACTGCCTGGGGACTGGGGAGCACCCCTGAGCGCAGCACAGCCCCGGCAGGGCCGCCAGCCCCGGGGCAGCCACGTGTGACAATGTCACCTTGAGCAGGCATGGCCACGGCAGCGCCGGCTCGGCTCGCTGCAGCTGCCTCCTAAATATATCGATCTGCTTCAGGGAGGAAGAGCATTCAAAGGACGGGCTCTTGAAGCAGCCAGCTGAGCTCTAAAAGCAGGACTGAGCTCTCCTCCCCTGGCTGGGAGCGCTGGTGCCCAGCAGAGCCGTGCCAGGACCAAGGCAGGCAGAGCTGGGCTGCCCACGGGGACGGGCACGAAGCTGTCCTGGCTCTGCCCGTGCCACCAGGGACGGTCTGGCCAAGGCTGGAGCGCCCAAACCCGCCGAGCAGCAGCACAGCACACAGATGGAAACCCACTGCAGGGCCTGGCACCGAGCTGGCGACACTCCCCTGTCCCTGGGCAGCCAGCATGGCACTGCCAGGGCTCCCTTCAGTACCCTTCTGATTAACTGCTCCATCCCCTGCCTGACTGCACGCCGGGAGCAAGAGGCAGAGCCAGACAACAGCCACGCTCCCCATCCACCCCTTACTAGATATTAGGGAGAGATTCCTCCCTGGCAGGGTGGGCAGCCCTGGCACAGGTGCCCAGAGCAGCTGGGGCTGCCCCTGGATCCCTGGCAGTGCCCAAGGACAGGCTGGACAGGGCTAGGAGCAGCCTGGGACAGTGGGAGTTGTCCCTGCCCATGGATGATCCTCAAGGTCCCTTGCAACCCAAACCATGCCAGGGTTCTGTGATTTATCATCTCAGTGTGGCTGTGGTCACAGCAGAGGCACAGCTCACCTGGGGACACCCAGGGACCCCCAGCCCAGCCCCGTCCCAGACCCTGGGACCCCAGACCCCCCAGCACAGGCACCTCCAGCCCCAGCCAGGAGCTCTGTCCTTGCTCATCCTGCCTTTTTCTTTGGAAGGCAGATTTGGGGCTTTTCTCTCTCCCAGAGCCGCTGAGCCAACAGCCCCAGTGCAGAATTGTGCTCCGGACTGTGCTCCCAGAAATCAAAGTGCTTTGTGCCAGCGTTTGATAATACAGCCTGCTATACATTTTGATTACCTTACAAATACGATTACTATTAAGCTACTATAGGTCTGGCAGGAATAATCCCACGCTGACTCACTTCAGATGCTGGGAGATGCTGTGTGAAATAGCTGCTCCTGCCACTCTCTGATTGCTGCGCTGCAAAGCCGGGCCGCAGGCTTTAAATGCACTCAATGTGGTTGGTAAATGAAATTTCTGGGACAATATTAAAATGTAATCCTCCTGGAAAGCATTGTCACCGTTCTGAAGGACTCTGCTGGCTCCCAGTGCCGTGCACCTGGACATTCTCATTCACAGGCTGCTCGAGGGCCGGGCAGGGATTGCATCAAAGGTCCCCCGTCCCCCTCTCCCCTCTTGACTCATACAAACCCAGCCACACAGCCACGGAAAAGTGGATTTCCTGCAGTTTGCATTGGGTTTCTCCCTTTGCTCAGGGCTTTGCTCAGAGGAATGAGTCTGGGAAAAAGTGCAGCACTTTGCTGCTGAGCCATAAGGGATGCTGCGGGCTAGGGCACCCGAGGGGCTGGGAAATCACCCCCAAAGTCACAGCACTCCCTGGTGAGCACACCTCACGGTGCAGCTGCTGTGCAGGACACTTCCACGTCACACACCCACATTTTGGCCCTGCAGCCACTTTTGCCAGTGAACTAGGGAAGGTGTGAGGCTGCCAAGGCAGAGAACACACAACTGCTTTGGCAAGTGCAGTGATGTATACAGAGAACAGAAAATCCTGGAATGGGTTGGGGTGGAAGGGACCTTAAATCCCACCCAGTGCCACCCCTGCCATGGGCAGGGACACCTCCCACTCGCCCAGGTTGCTCCAAGCCCCGTCCAGCCTGGCCTGACACCGTTCCAACCCATTTCCCAAAGTGGCAGGCTCCAGCCCCAGGGTCCCAGCCCAGGTGGCCCCAGGTGGCCCCAGCAGCCCTTACCATGGTCTGGAAGCAGGAGTGGAGCTGGGTCAGGAATGGAGGCTTCCCCGAGAGCGCCAGCACGCGCTTCTCCACCATGGTGCACTCCACGTCGTCGTCCTGGATAACCACGTCCTTCTTCAGGATCTTCACAGCGTACAGCTCGTCCGTGCCCTTCCTCTCCGCCAGCATCACCTGCACCAGCACAGGGCATGTGTGGAGCCACAGGGACTGGAGCTGCAGAGCTGCAGCTGGAACAGCCCCAGCTGCTCCCCTCGCAGCCCCGGGCAGAGCTGCAGTGCCAAGCCACACACAGCTGCCAGGGCTGCTCCCAAAAGCCTTGGGGGACTCTAAATCCAAGGACCCACACATCTCCTCACTGCCTCATTGCCCTCGAGCCCGAGGGGTGTGACGGTATCTGAGCCCAGCTCACCCTCCAGCACCCCTCTGCCCTGAGGCACCTCAGGGTGCCACCAGCAGCAGGGAGGGTGTCAGGAGACTGAAGGCAGAGTCCATCAGATCACAAGGGGGTAAATGTTTGAAGTGGCAAAGAGTCTCAGTGAATAGTCACAAAACCCCCCATGATTTTCTCTGCCTCCCTCCACAGCAGTGAGCAAACCCCTCCATGTGCTGGCTCATCACCCAGCCCAGGCCCCTCTGAGCAGGAGAATCACCTAACTCCCGTTCCCAGCCAGCCCCACCACCTGCAGGTTTATTTACTGCAGTCCATGGCATTCCCTGCTTTGCTGCTGCAAATCCCTGGGGTTAATCCTCGGCTCCCCTGCCCGACCCACCACGCTCCACCAGCCCGAGCTGCTCCTTGGGCTGCCAGCAAATAAACCAGCTCTGAGAGCTCACTTTGGTCTCCCCTTTTCCCTTTTCCCTCTGCCACGGCCCGGGAGCGCTGGCTGGGAATGAATTGCTCTTCATTTGAAGGAGCTGGCAGAAATCCTGCAGCCACATCCAGCAGTTCTGGGGTTTGGGAAATAAATCAGGTGAAGTCCACATCCATAGGGTGGAACTGGAATGTGGGCAGAGGACACATGAATGGGTCTCAGGGTGACTTCAGAGACACCCAGGAGAGCAGAATTAACCCTCTGTGTCCCAGCCCTCTGCTGTTCCACAGGCTTGGAGCCGTGGGGCAGTCCCACCCCTGGAGGGACTTTGCAGATGTGGCACTTGGGGACAGGGCTGGCAGCGCTGGCACTGGACTCAGCGGTCCCAGAGGCCTTTTGCAAGCTCAGTGATTCTGTGATTCCATCCTGGGACACGGCCCGAGGACCAGGGATGATGAGGCAGGGGACACAGCCTGAGGAGAGAGGTCTTTGGTGCCACCCACTTGTTTGGGTGCAGGGAACGGGACACAGGGCACAGGGAACAAGGAACAGGGATCAGGGAACAAGGAACAGGGATCAGGGAACAGGACACAGGGATCAGGGCACAAGGAATAGGGCACAAGGAACAAGGAACAGGGCACAAGGAACAAGGAACAGGGCACAAGGAACAGGGCACAAGGAACAAGGAACAGGGCACCAGGGCACCAGGGACACGTGTGGGCTGGGCTGGGCACGCCGAGGCAGGGGCACACAGCCCCAGGCCCCCCTTCTCCGAGCCAGAGCCATTTTCCAGCCGGCAGCCCTGGCTCGGGGCCTCCTCTGCCAGCGCGCTGCTGGGAAGCAGATTGCATTCCCTTTTCACTGGTACTGGTGCAGGAAAAGGCTGATGCTTAACTTGATTTATCCCTGTAATACAGAGTATTTGTTTGGGAATGCTCCAGCACAAGGACTGGAGATATTCTGAGCGCAGACAAAGCGAGTTTGTCAGACTCCAGCGAGGCCAGCGTGCTGCTGCTCCTGGCCCTGGCCAGCACATCCTGAGCAGTAAAGCTGAGCTCCTGGGGCCAAAGGGTTAACAGAGACAGACAGAGGCTCCTCAAACACCGAGGCTGCCGTCCAAGAGGGACTGGCAGGAGGCAGGCTGGCAGCAGGCAGCTGGGCACAGGAGCGGTGCCAGCCCCGGGGAGGGAAGGACACGGTGCCAGCCTTGGCTGGGGACGGCAGTGCCAGGGACACGAGCAGCTGGGCACACCGGGGGCTGGGGAGCCGGGCTGCTCCCCCTGCTCCCCGCACCTCTGCCCGGCCCCTCCCGAACATCTGGCACCTCTGGCATGCCCAGAGGCGGGCACGGAGCCGTGGCACCCGGGGGTCCCCGGGCAGCAGGGATGCCTGGGGGAGCGCAGGCACACGTGAGGGTGAGGCTGCATCCACCGGAGAAACCAACGTGCTGTTTTAATTAGCGCTAATTAGCATATTTATAACACTCTGTTCCAGGAAACAGTTTCTGTCACACACTGCCTTACGTAAGCCGGAGCCGGCTGAGGGGTTTGCTAACGTTTCTCAAATGGAAGGCAGGGACATGGCACAAGCACGGCGGCTCCAGATGCCAGCGCTGGCTCTGGGAGGGAGGGGACAGGGGACATTTCTGCCAGACAGCAGCACGGGGCTGTCCTGCACCCAGAGCGCCAGCCCACAGCACAGCGACCACGCCGAGCTCAGGGCTGAGGCTCTGGGGACCACCAGGACCTCCCCAGAGGTTCCCTGCCTGCCACAAACGCTTCCCTGCAGCTCTGGAGAGGGAGAAAACGCCCAGGGAGAAGCCAGGACCTCCCAGAGCTCCAAGGCCAGCAGAAGGCTGGGGAGGAAGGGATGGAAGGGATGGGACCTTCCAGAGCTGCAGTGCCAGGCTGGGAAGGAAGGGATGCTCCTGCCACACCCCTGTGCTCAGGGGAGCATCCCTGCACACCCTGTTCACCTGTAATACCTGCAGAGATGCTTCTGCTACACCCCTGTGCTCAGAGGAGAATCCCTGCACACCCTGCTCACCTGTAATACCTGCAGGGATGCTCCTTGGATGCTCCTGCCACACCCCTGTGCTCAGAGGAGCATCCCTGCACACCCTCCTCACTCTAATACCTGCAGAGATGCTCCTGCCACACCCCTGCGCTCAGAGGAGCATCCCTGCACACCCTCCTCACTCTAATACCTGCAGAGATGCTTCTGCCACACCCCTGCGCTCAGAGGAGCATCCCTGCACACCCTCCCCACCTCTGCTCCCTGCCTGAGGAAGGAGCCTGCAGGCACAGCAATATTCCCTGCAATTAAGGCAACTCCCTGATGACAGTGGGGCTGGGCCAGCCCTCACAGCAGCAAACACTGCACCCACCTCCTGCACAGCCCCAGCGTTCCCTGGAGCTCTGGGACCCCCAATGGAAATCAAGAGACTTGGCAAGACCCCAAGAAAAATGAAGGCTCCAAGGCACATAATTACCAGGAGAATGAAATTCTGTTACTGCTCACAACCGGTCTGGGAAGTTAATTAAAATGTTCCCATGTATTTGTAATTATTGGAGGAGAAGAAAACACCAACCAAACGAAAAAGAGCTTTAAAGATACATCCCCTGCTTCCCAAAAGGATGGATTTTGTGCTGGTGCCATCAGACATCTCTGGTGGTCCCTGCTGGGACAGGGGAGCCCAGCTGGGCTCCCGGTGCTCCACCAGTGCTCCCAGTCCCCCCAGAGTGTTCAGTGCAGACACGAGGGGGGCTCACCTTGCCAAAGCTGCCTTTCCCCAGCACCATCAGGAAGTTGAAATCCGAGAGCTTCATGCGGTCCCGGCTGCCGTTGTTGTCCAGTTTGGAAATGGCATTTCTTGTCTTCTCATCCGCAGCCTTGGAGCCCGTCCCGATCTTGGCTCTCTGCAAAGGTGAGGGAAGGGAAACTTTTCTGGGGGCAGAATGGGCATTACAAACCCACTGGTGCTCCCAAAATCCCACCTCAGCAGCTCTTCCCCAGCTCCAAACCCACCCTGAGCGTTGGGAGCCTTTGCCATGGGTGTGATGGGACAGCACCGAGAAAGGCACTGGAGGAGTCACCAGTCCTGGCATGTGGCACTGCTCCCACACAATTCCATGTGTAAATAGAATAGTTTACAGATTTCTCTGTGGGTAGAGAGAAATGATTGATTGATCTTTGGAGCAGTGTGGTCGGAGAGGTGGTGATTCCATCCTCAATCCACGGTCACTCTGGAATTCTATAAATACCAGATGTTGGAATAACACTGCTCACTGCTCACCGCTCTCTCCTCACTCCCAGCCCCAGCTGGAGGGGGTTCCCTGCCTGGCACACCGACAGCCTCCAGGGAGGTTGGGGGGCACGCAGCAGGGTGAGGGCACAGGGGTGCTCTGGCACCTCTGCACAATGTATTTTCTAACTGTGGGCAGCTCGCTCATCCTCTGACTGCCCAGACTGCTCTAATACCCCTGGAACCCCATGAGATACAATCAAAGCTGGCTGTTAGTTCTTTGTACAGCCCAGACCCACTGGTTGTTAGTTCTTTGTACAGCCCAGACCCACTGGTTGTAGCCAACTGTTGTATTAGAACCGTCTTGCCTTGGATACTCAGGAAAGTTGTGTACAAATAAGATTAAAAAGAAGGGAGAACAGGAGCTAACTCTCCAGTCTCTGCCACAATCACAGAGTTCATGCTGAGCACCATAAGGGCAACTCTCTTCTTTCTGTACGGCTCATTGCACGGGAGTCTCCAGATGCACCGCGCTCATTCCCAGGGCTACACTGAAAAATGGCAAATTTCTGCTCATTCAGCAATGTCTGGGTCAATCATTCAGCAAGAACTTCCATGGCTTATTAAGTAATAAATAGACACTTCCTGGAGCCTCTTTGGGCAGTTGGAGCCTGCTCCACGCTCCCTGCCCTGCCAGGGGAAGAGCTGGCAGGGAAAACCCTCCCCGAGGGCACAGCAGGCAGGCAGGCAGCGAGGAGAGCCCCTGAGAGCAAGGAAAATCAATTCACCTCAAATTTCTGCCTCAGCTCCTCGTTTCCTTCTTCTCCCTCGGGAGGCACGGGCACGTTGAAGTACTCGCCCTCCTCCTGGCTGAGCAGCTTGAACCTGGGGGCAGAGAGAACGTGGGTCAGGGGCTGAGGGGGGCAGGCTGCCCCTGCTCCAGCACAGCCTCAGTGTCCCCGTGCCCAGGGACCCTGCCCAGCTCAGCAGAACCCCCAGACCCTCCCCCCGGGCAAGCCCCAGTCCCCCAGTGGCCGGGGGGATGTTTCTGGGTCCCTCTCTGTCCCGGGGACCCTCAGAGCCCGGGCAGTGCTGTGGTGGGCACACAGAGCACTGCTGCCAAAGCAGTCCTGAGCCCAAACTCGTGTTTCCTGTGCCAGCCACGGGCACAGGCGTGGGCATCACCCCTTCCATCCCTGCCCACGGGGACAGCACATGGCTTGTGCCACTGCCAGGCTGGCACTGCCAGCTATTGGAAATGCAGGTGGGCCTGGGGGGAAGAAATGATGGTGTTTGATTCTAGTTCAGAAGGCTGAATGATTTCTTTATTATTATAACTATACTATAACACATTAATATACTATTTAAATGAGATACTAAAACTACAAACCTACTTTCTCTAACTCCCATATCCGACTCACTCCCAACTTGTGACCCTCTCGAGAGCCCAGCCCCAGGTGGGTTGGATTGGCCACCAGGCTCAAACAATCCTCACCAGAATCCAACCAAGCAATGACCCCAGGCAAACAATTCTCCAAACACATTCCACATGGGAAAAAGAAGGAGCAGAAATAGGAATTGTTTTCTCTTTCTTCTCTCTGTGCTCCTCTATGAAAACTCCTGAGACAGAGGAGAATGTGCCTGGCACAGCCAACCCCAGCACACAGACAGGATGTGATGCTCCTCCAAAGGAGGAGAAAAGCTTAAGCAGCAATTCCCAAAACCAAGGGAACACCACCCAGGTGCCAGAGTTCCACCCTGCTGGGGGCACGGATGTGCAGCCAGGCTGGATCCTGGCTGGGTGTGCCCAGGGGCTGCCCCAGGACACAGCCCTGCCCAGCACAGGCTCTGCCTTGGAGCAGGTCCCTGCATTAACTGCAGCTGTTTAATATGGAATGTGGATCAGAGCTCCTCCTCCTGCAGTGTCCTGCAGCAGCAGTGTGACAAGGGAACCTGCTGAGGTCTCCACTTGTGGGCAGTGTGACGGCTGGGGGTGCTCAGGGCTGGCAGCGTGTGGGGGACAGCACAGAGCCCACAGCTGCTGGGGAACAGGGACAGCTTCCCTCTGCCTTCCCCGCAGCACAGTGCCACCGTGCCAGGCACTGTGCCCAGCTGAGAGGGGCAGGACAGGGCTGGGAGCAGTGGGAGCTCCCCAGCCCTGCCCAGGGCGGCACGGCGTGGGCACACACCCCACCCAATTCCTCTCCACTGCCCACGGCCCCCACGGAGCCAGCCCGTGCTGGGCACTCAGCCACGCAGACACCCCATGGCAGCCCCAGAGCTGGAGCAGCACCTTCAGGGAGCTGGGGCGGGTGCCTGGGGCGGGTGCCTGGGGCAGGCTGAGGGGCTGCCCCACTCCCCTCTGCAGACTGGGCCGCTTTGTGCCCACGGTGGGGGCAAAAAGGCGCCTCTCACCATCCATCCACTCCTGACTTCTGCAGCTCGGAGATGCCGAAGGACAGGGAGCCCATGAAGTCGTTCCTGCTGGTCAGATCCCAGTCCCAGATCTCCACAGACAGCCGCCTGTCCTTGTCTGCCTCCTTCAGCTGGCTGCAAGAGAGGGAGAAGGGAGGGCTTTACCCTGAGCTGTGCCCCCCTGCCCCGCAGGGATGCCAAGGGAGGGGAGGGATGGTCCTCAGGGCCTGCTGAGGTCTCCAGCATTGATTTCCAAGGCACATCCCATCCACAGGGAGCTCCTGCCCGGACACACTCTGCCCTCAGCAGGGTCAGGGCAGAGGTTTGAGCGCTTCTGTGTCACTGACAGAACAAAAAGAATCCCTTCTCAGTCGAACCAGCTCAATGCCTCTGAATAATTACATCACAGCAAATAAAGTCCTGTTCATTCTTGGTGAGAAAATTCACTTTACAAATGGAAACGCTTTCCTCGTACTTACAATTTAAACGTCTCATTCCACTCAGGATTCAGGGAGCACTTGATAGTTTTGGTCTTCTGTTTGCTTTCGTTTTTGGGGTCGGGGATTAGTTTAAGCTTCACGTAAGGATCTGACAAGCCGTTAGGGTCCATAGGAACTAGGTTTTTAGCATCTCTTACTGGGGAAGAGAAAAAGGATTAAATTCAGTATTCCAGCTATAAAAATACCCAACAACTGACAACTTCCCCATGTGCCAAGAGTAAGTGTGAAAATAGTGATTAAAAGCAGAATTAAACTGGATCTGTGCAGACATGGGCATTACACGAAGAACGACATAATTAACGCCGAGCAAACGCAGCTCTGGTGGATGGGGGAGGCTGCAGGGTCGACTCAGGAGATTATTTTTACTTTCTGACAGGCTGATTTGTTGTTTGCTCTCGGCTTTAAGCAGTTTAAAGCTGATTTGTTTCCTCTGGCCCCTTGGGAAGCAGCACTGCACTGATGTGTGGGGGGCTGGAGCTTTCCTGGAGGAGTGGGAGCAGCGACGGAGGGAGGTGGGTGGGGGCAGGAGCCCAAAGCACCACCACAGCAGCAGCGGGCACAGGGCACATCCAGCCCCCGGCTGCCCCTGGGTCTCTCTGGGGGCCGGGGATGCCCACGGGCTCCAGCGCTCGCCCACTGAGCAGCACAGCCCAGCTGGGACCAGCATCTCCTCGGGGCAGCAGGAGCAGAGGGGCAGAGCGAGCCCGAGGGGACTCAGCTGCCTCTAAGTGCATTGCAGCTCGGGCAGATGAAATACAGCCAGGCTGAGCCCGGCCTGGTCACCCAGGCTGAGTCCAGAAGGGTCTGTCTGCAGCAGAAGGATCTGACCTTCCCCCAGGGATCAGAGCTGGGAAGGCGGATGGGTCAGCATGGAGCCGAGCCATACCTGAGGAAAAACTGTTTGCAAGGAACCCAGAGCAGAGCCCCCTGGCCAGGGCTCAGGCACAGAGGGTCCAGCAGAGCCCCCTGCCCAGGGCTCAGGCACAGAGGGTCCAGCAGAGCCCCCTGGCCAGGGCTCAGGCACACAGGGTCCAGCAGAGCCCCCTGCCCAGGGCTCAGGCACAGAGGGTCCTGCCTGAAACCCCAGCAGGTCCAGCAGCAGCTCTGCTGGGAGGCTCACAGGGCTCAGCTTCACCCTCATCCCACCAGGAGCAGGAGGAGGAGGAGGAGAGAGCTCCAGCTGTGTGTGCAGCACCACAGGATGGCCCAAGGCACCTTCAGGCTCACAAGAGTTAAACCAATTGCCCAGTGCCCAACTCACCAGTAAGGAATTTCTGATGAGGCTGGGAACCAGAGCGCTTTGAAAAGCAAATTAATTCCCCAAAATCTGCCATCTATTGCTGTCCTCCCGAAGCACTGCCCAATTTCCAGCTCCATGGAATCGAACTGGTAGCCAAAATTCAACTCTGCATTTATAAAGGAGCTCATTTATCAAAGGTGACAGCGCTGAGAGCAGCCTGTGAGACGGGAGAGCTGTGGGCGTGCTGCCCTGGCCAGGACAGCTGGGGATGCTGCCAGGATCAGCCCCTGGGGTGCTTTGGGTCGGAAGGGACCCAAACCTCCTCCAGTGCCACCCCTGGGGTGATTTGGGTCAGAAGGGACCCAAACCTCCTCCAGTGCCACCCCTGGGGTGGATTGGGTCGGAAGGGACCCAAACCTCCTCCAGTGCCACCCCTGGGGTGCTTTGGGTCAGAAGGGCTCTCACAGCCCCTCCAGTGCCACCCTGTGCCCCCGGTGCTGGCAGGGCGAGGGGAGTGATGCTCCCAGTGCCCTCCTGAGCTCTCCACACCCCACCCCAACCTCGTCCTGCCTCCTGCCACCTTCCTGTCTTCAAAACTCTCCTGAAATCGTGTCCTCAGTGCCCCTGCAGCATGGGGAGCCTCAGGGACAGCCCACGGGCAGGGACTGATGTGCCCCCGCGTTTTCCACGAGGGTGTCTCCTCCCCACTCCACATTTAGGGCTGCCAGAGCCATTCAGAGACTTTCTCTGAACCATTATTGAGTAGCTATTGCAAACTTTGCAGGATAAATTCAAATCTCATTCACCCGGCCCTGTGGTGCAGAGTGGTGGCACCTCCTGGCACTGCCCCCCTGAACCCCCCTCCAGACACGTCCAGGACATGCCAGCAGCTCGCCCTGACCATGCCCTGAGCCCACTGGGGCACCTCCCTGGCACCAGGGCAGGGCACTGGGATGTCCTCGCCGCTCTCCCCACTCCTCCTGCCCCAGGAACAGAAGCACCGAGGACCCCCCATGTGAGCCCAGGGCTGGGAGAGGCTCTGGGCTGTGCTCGGGGTCCCCTCACTGGGAGGGGGCACAGAGGGATGTCACACCCGTGTGTCGCTGTCCCAGAGCCAGCACAGCCTCTGGAGACCCCCGAGCAGCCCCGTGTTGTTTATTTGGTGCCCTTCGCTTCTTTAAGGAGCTGAGAAGCCGTCCTGGCCCTCGCAGTTAATCAGTTTATGCCCTGAAGCATGAGATTTGATTACCTCGTGTTATTATCTCAGCGTGCAGACCTCCAAGTTTCATTAATGGGAATAATTTTATCTGTTTGTTTAAAAAAACCAAAATGCTTCTGCTTGACCTTAAGAAACTTCCTGACTTTTCAAGCAGAAATCAACAATTAAGTGAAGGAAGAATGGGAACCTGGAGCGGCACAGCAGCGATACCTCACGGCAGGGAGACGTGCTCCTCGCCAACATTTATGGCAGTCACTTGACAGTTAAATCTGATGTAAAATAGTTTTATATCTCTCATATCCTGACAGTTTTGTGCATCATTAAGAAGCAGTAACATCATTATTAACAGTGATGAGTAAGAATATGATGAGTGCTTTTAAAGCAAGTCCTAAATCACTCTGGGCTCCAAGCGTGGCCAAGGAGGTGCCCCAGTGGGCTCAGGGCACAGAGCAGGACAGGGGATGTGAAGGTGCATTTGCTCCTGTCCCACAGCAGCCAGGCAATGCCCTGGGTGTCTGCCCTGCACCAGGGCCTCAGAGACACATCCCACATTCCAAATTTTGGGAAGGAATTGTTCCCTGGGAGGGTGGCAGCCCCTGGCACAGGTGCCCAGAGCAGCTGTGGCTGCCCCTGGATCCCTGGCAGTGCCCAAGGCCAGGCTGGACAGGGCTGGGAGCACTGGGGACAGTGGAAGCTGTCCCTGCCCAGCAGCTTTGGGGTTGAATTTTAAGCTCCCTTCCAACACGAGCCATTCCAGCGATTCTGTGAAAAACCTGTTTCCCATTGGGCGGGACAGACTGGCTTTACAAAGAGAAGGGAAAACCTCCGAGTGAGAGAGGAGAAAAGCACAGAGCTGAGAAGCAATTCCTCAGCTGGAAGGGAAAACCAGAGCGGCGTTGGCCGTGCCCGTGCTGCCGCCTGCAGGCACCAACCCCACGTTCCTGGGCACGGCTGGGATGCTTCCCAAACCCCTGCAGCTGCCAGATCATCATCACCATCATCATCATCACCAGCAGCAGCAGCAGCAGCAGCAGCAGCAGCAGCAGCAGCAGCAGCCGCAGCTGCAGCTGCGGCTGCTGCTGCTGCTGCTGCTGCTGCTCCATCCTCGCCCGCCCCAGGGATTCCTGCACAAAGGGCATTGCCCCCTGTGCCCCCCAGCACTGCCAAAGCCACCGCTGTCCCATGTCCCCAAGTGCCACATCCCCAGGGCTGATAAATCCCCTCAGAGATGGGAACTCCACCCCTGCCCTGGGCGGCTGTGCCAGGGCTGGACAGCCCCTCCAGGAGGAAATTCTCCCAGATATTAAAATATAAATTCAAATCAAATATCAAATATAAATCCACCCTGAGCTCCCCTGGCCCAGCCTGAGGTTGTTCCCTCTGCTCCTGTCCCTGTCCCTGGAGCAGAGCCTGACCCCCCGGCTGTCCCCTCCTGGCAGGGGCTGTGCACAGCCAGAAATTCCCCCTGATCCCCCTTTTCTCCAGGCTCAGCCCCTCCCCAGCTCCCCCAGCCCCTTCCCCAGCCTGTTCCCTTCCCTGGCCATGCTCCAGCCCCTCTCTGTCCCCGTTGTGAGAGCCCAGAGCTGCCCCAGGACTCAGGTGGTCCCTCAGCAGCACCAGCACAGCCTTGGGTGGCTCCATCTCCCAAGGGCTGGGTGCCCACCTGAGCCCTGGGGCCATCTGGGCTCTGCAGTGCCCAGCTCTCCTCTCCCAAAGCACTCCCACTCCGCTCTGGAGAGCTCAGCATGCTTCCCTTCCTTTCTGGAAAAGCCAACAGCTGACACGTTTTCACCAACACCTCCAGAACGGGCCAGAAATAAAACAGCCTTTCAAACCAGCTGGAGAGATGGAAATCCAGCTGCACAGAGCTGTGGGAGCTGCTCCTGCCCCGGGGCGCTGGGAACATGGCACCAGGGAGCCTGTGGTGCCAGCAGCAGGGTGGCATCTGCACCCCAGCAGCATCTGAGGGGGGCTGGAGGGAGCACAGCAGCATTAGGGCTGGAAAAGAGCTCCACTAAGATCCCCAGGATCCCTGTGTCCAACCTTCAGGAAGTGCCTGGGAAGCAGGACTCCTGCCAACAGCCCTGCCTGGTTCACTGAGGCTCTCCTTTAAGGACAAATACAGCAACAGAAAATTATAAAGTCCTCCGCAACTTTTTCAGTTTTTCATTAACATTTTCACCAACTCGATATTTTTCCTGAGAACACCCCCGGGGTGACAAGCACCCACCAGAGCAGCAGCAGCACAGGATGGCCCGGAGCCACCCCCAGCCCCAGCCAGGAGCCCTGGGGTGGCACGGCTCCTGCAGCGGGTGGGAACGCAGGCTGGATGGTGGGGAGGGACCCGGTGTCACCACGGGTGTCCCAGCCGGGGTCCCCTCCCTCAGGGGCACTTCACACCCCTGGCTTTGGCTCATCGGGAATAACTGGAATAACTCGGCCGGCCCTGGGTGCCGCGTGGGCAGGAGCCTGCCCAGCCCAGCTCGGCCTGCAGACCCGCAGCGATGGCACTGCCGTGCCCACGGGCAGCAGTCCCTGCCACCCACCCTGCTGGCACCGCCCCGGCAGCCCCCAGACCACAGCTCAGTCTGGTGGCCCCACACTGGGGACAAGAGGCTTCACAGGAGCGGCTCAATGTTTTGGGAAGTGCTTATAGGCCATGGGGAAGCATTATCCCTTGGGAACTCAACATCCAGGTGGCAAAAGGCTCTAGGGACTCCACAAACCCCACCCTCCCCAGGGTCCTGCAGATGCTGAAATTCTCCATCATTCAACAATGTGGGAATCCAGGGCTTCCCTCTGGCTGCCCTGGCAGGGGTCAGGAACCCCCCTGGACAGAGCCCCCAGAGACACTGGCTGTGATCTCTGTCCATGGAGAGGAGTTTTCAATCTTACAGGATGAATTACAAGCTTTGAGTGTTTGATAAGAGTAATAATTAAGTGTGACACGGGTGCAAGAGTAAAATTTTAAGTTTCTAGATTAGGGGTCCAAAGGGGACAAGATGGAGGAAATTGGGTGTGTCTTGTCCTTTTCCTCCTTCTTCATGCCCTCCATGTTTCACTGTGGTGTTGGCATTTTTCTGTTGGTTCAGGCTGGGGACACACTGTCCAACGTAGGTGACAGATATTGGCACGTTATTGTAAATCCAGCACAGGTAGTTTGTGGTATTTAATGTTTGTACCATCCCACTGAGGGCAGAGCCCCACACGCTGCCCTGCAGGACAGAGCTGCGGCAGGGCAGCAGAACATGTTAGAGATAAACAGAATAAACAACCTTGAAACAGCACAGACCAATTATGGCTTTTGCTTTGGCAGCGGGGCTGAAAGACAGAGACTTTCTACGATCTCGGAATCACCAATACCCACAGATTCCGACACAACAACCGCTGGGAAAAGTCCGTGCCTGGCAGTGCCATCAGCTGACGGGCCCTGGGCCCTGGGCAGGCGTTGCCAGAGGAGGCTCAGAGCCTCGTCCTGCCTTGCTGGGGCTCCTGGCACTGCCAGCGGGCACTGGGGGTGGGCAGGCAGCCCTGGCAGCACGTACCTACGACGGTGAGCACGTCCTTGTCGATGTCGGCGCGGATGTAGATGCGGCCGCGGCGCTCCGTGTGGTCCGTCCCGCACAGGCTGGGCACGTTCATCACGCAGCGCTTGTGCACGTTCATCATGCAGGCTGTGGGCAGGAGGGGACACTCAGCGCCTGCCAGGGCTGAGGGGGGCACGGGGACAGCCTGGCCCTGGTAAAGCGGGGTGAGCTGAGGGACGGGGGGTGAGCACAGAGCCAAGGGGGCCTCAAGGGCAGCCGGGGCTCTGTGGGGTTCAGGAGGCCCCAGGAACCCCCTGCCAGCAGCTCTGGCTCCTGCCTGGCACATCCCGGGCTCTGGGCCCTTGTTAAACCGCTTGAGTTCTGCTGCCTCGCCAGGATTCTCTTCCATCAGCCCCAAGGCGCTCAGCTGGGTCCAAAAAGGGCATTAAAAATTACCCGTGTATCTGCGTTCACACAGAGGCGGGAAGATCTCTCTATCTATAGAGATACATAGATCTGTGTTTACATTTTAAAGCAGTTCACTTCCCCTTGGCAAGACTCCCGCGGTTCTGAGGAAGAAGCTGTTCCCAGCCAGCCGAGCAGGGAGCAGCCGAGCACATGCTGCATGTCCCAGTCCCCTTAAATAGGAACGTACAGGATTAACTCGGCAAATCACCGATTCCATCCTCTCCTTGTGCTTCCAGCCCCCGTTTTCTGCTCCGTGCGCAGCGATTCCCCCGCCGGCAGCGGCCACACGGTGTCACCCGGAGCCAGCGCTGAGAGGGCCGGGACGGGCGGGGATGCGGCGGGGCCGGGGGATGCTGCGGGGATGCTGCAGGGCCGGGGGATGCTGCGGGGCCGGGGGATGCTGCGGGGCCGGGGGATGCTGCGGGGGTCGGGGGATGCTGCGGGGCCGGGGGATGCTGCGGGCCGGGGGATGCTGCGGGGCCGGGGAATGCTGCGGGGCCGGGGGATGCTGCGGGCCGGGGGATGCTGCAGGGCCGGGGGATGCTGCGGGGCCGGGGATGCTGCGGGGATGCTGCGGGGCCGGGGGATGCTGCGGGGCCGGGGATGCTGCGGGGCCGGGGATGCTGCGGGGCCGGGGGATGCTGCGGGGCCGGGGATGCTGCGGGGATGCTGCGGGGCCGGGGGATGCTGCGGGGATGCTGCGGGGCCGGGGATGCTGCGGGGATGCTGCGGGGCCGGGGGATGCTGCGGGCCGGGGGATGCACATCCTGCAGGGACGCTGTGGGCGATGCTGCTGTGGGGCTGCTTCTGGAGAGGGCTCTGGGGGGACGCTGCTGCAGAGGGGGATGTGGGGGTGCGGTACAAAGGGATGTGGGGGGATGCTGCTGCAGTGAGGGATGTGTACAGAGGAATGTGGGATGAGTACAAAGGGATGTGGGGGACACTGCTGCAGTGGGATGAGTACAAAGGGATGTGGGGGACACTGCTGCAGTGGGATGTGTACAAAGGGATGTGGGGGACACTGCTGCACAGGGATGTGTATGAAGGGATGTGGGATGTGTATGAAGGGATGTGGGGGACACTGCTGCAATGAGGGGTGTGTACAGAGGGCTGTAGGATGTGTATGAAGGGATGTGGGGGGACATTGCTGCACAGGGATGTGTACAAAGGGATGTGGGATGTGTACAAAGGGCTGTGGGGCACGCTGCTGCACAGGGATGGGGGAGCCTTCCCCCAGGCCAGCCCCTTTCCCTCGCCTCTCCCTGCAGCAGCCTCACACCGGGTGGGGAGGTGCCCCTCGTGCCCCTCGTGCCCCCCGAGCCCCGCAGCCTCTCCCGTGGCAGAGGGCACGGGCTCCTGGCTGCTGCCCGAGCCCCTCCCGCGGGCACTTACTGTCACATTTCATCCCCTGGTGAATGAGCCCGTACAGCAAGGACCCGCAGTGGTCACAGAAGGTGGGGCTGGAGTACGTGTGGATTTTAAATTTGTGTTTGCTCCGGGGATCCTGGGAGGAAAACAAAGGACAAAGAGTGTGAACTCGCAGCAAATGTTGGCACGGCAGCCCTGCTCTTCCATTCCGAGTGCCAGCTGGCTCCGGAGGTGCTGCTAATGGACTTCAGTCAACTGCCACCGACTCGTGGGGACCTCTTCCAGCAGCCACCGGGATCCAGATTTATTCCTCTTCATCTGTGTTGCCATAACAATGAAAAAGCAATGCACTGGCTTGGCTGAGGATTTGCTGGTTTTCAATAACTCAGTTTTAGCATGGAAAACACCAGGTGAAATTGGGAGGCACAGAAGGGCTGGACAGTGCCCAGCTTCCACGCAGAGCAGGAAAAACCACCCATGATTCCATCTATATTAAGCCTGCCCAGGAACATCTCTTGTGCTCTGGTGCCAGCCCTCCCCTCACACTCCCAGGCACTCAAGCTGCTCAGGGGATACTTTTTTTTAAGCTTTCTTAAAAGCAAGGGCAGATTTTTGCCCAGCAGCAGAGGGTGCAGGCCCAGCAGAGCCCAGTTCATCCCTTCATCCCTTGTGCAGGCACTGGGCAGCGTCCTGGCCTCCAGCAAGGGTCAACAGGAGCTAGAGCCAAACAAATCCAAATCGTGGAATCACAGAATGGGTTGGGAGGGACCTTAAATCCCACCCAGTGCCACCTCTGCCATGGCAGGGACACCTTCCACCGTCCCAGGCTGCTCCCAGCCCTGTCCAGCCTGGCCTTGGGCAGTGCCAGGGGTCCAGGGGCAGCCACAGCTGCTCTGGGCACCTGTGCCACAGAAAACTTCCAGAAGAAACAGCTTCTCACAGTGAGACTGGAACCAAGCACTGAGGCAGGGCGAGGGTTTGGCCTTTCTGGTGTGTTGTGTGCAGGGGAGGACAGTCCTGGAGCCCAGGAGAGCCCGGGGCAGGGGGGTGGCAGAGGGAGCTGCTGGGGCACCAGCAAAGGCTCCAGCAGGAGCAGCTTGCTTTCATCTCACGTTAATTGTTTAAGGGTTAGGGATGAGCATCAGCTCCTGGCTCTGTCATTCGAGCTGAGCAGCTTTTTAATGGCCTGGAAAGCTGCCCAGGCATCAGCAAAGACACCTTTTCAGGGCACTGCGAGCGGAGTAAATAAATAAAGAGTGGAATCAGAAGCGAGCTATAACATCACCCAATACATTCCATCCCCCTGAAATTAATTTCCCAGCACTGTTGCACTGGAGCTTGCAGCTGCATTCATCACCAACATTCTGCCTTAGTGCTCAGCCGGGACACGGGGCAGGGGGACATGGGGCAGGGGACACGGGGCAGGGGGACATGGGGCAGGGGGACATGGGGACATGGGGCAGGGGGACATGGGGACACGGGGCAGGGGGACACGGGGACACGGGGGACACGGGGCCATGGGGCAGGGGACACGGGGGCAGCAGCCACGTGCCAGCATGTGACACCCAAGGCATCGCCCCCGAGCTGCCACGCTCCTCCCCTGCAGCGCAGGCTGAGTGAGAGCGTCAGTCATTCATAAAAAACACAAGCTTTGTGTGAAAGGAGACAATTCCCACTCCGTGCGAGGGATGCTGAGCTCCCACTGGAGCTCGAGGAGCTGGAAAAGCAAATGGCAAAGCGGGCTGGGCTCCAGAGCAGCAGAGCCCAGAGCAGGGGCTCACCCCCGGCTCCCAGCCCTGCTCCCACACCCACACCCACACCCACACCCACACCCACACCCACACCCACACCCACACCCACACCCACGGGGCAGAGCCGGGGCTGCAGCTGATGGAGCAGCCAGGCCTGGAGAGGAGGAAGGGCTGCTGGTCTGGCTGAGAGGGGCTCGGGTCACCTTGACCAGCGCCTCAGAAAGTGCCAGAAGCAATTCTGGGGATCATTTCTGAGCAAGGCTGTACAAAGAGACTATTTTTGTACCACGGAGACAGGACTGACGAGCACACTGCGTATGCAGATGCTGAGACTTAAAACAAGAATGGTTAAAAAGAAGTTTGCCAAGAAAAGAAAAGGCTCTTCTCCTCCCCCACCAGCGCTGAGCCAGCCTGGAGAATGGGGCAGGGACAGCCTTCTTTGGAGCAGAGCTGGAAAACACCATGAGCAGAGCCAGTGCATGGCCCTTCCCTTCCCTTCCCTTCCCTTCCCTTCCCTTCCCTTCCCTTCCCTTCCCTTCCCTTCCCTTCCCTTCCCTTCCCTTCCCTTCCCTTCCCTTCCCTTCCCTTCCCTTCCCTTCCCTTCCCTTCCCTTCCCTTCCCTTCCCTTCCCTTCCCTTCCCTTCCCTTCCCTTCCCTTCCCTTCCCTTCCCTTCCCGAGCCAGCACCCCCTGCAACATCCCATCCCTAATTGCATCTGAATTTTCTCCTGTTTCCTTGTCTAAATAAGAAAAAATTCCTCCCTGGCAGGGTGGGCAGCCCTGGCACAGGTGCCCAGAGCAGCTGAGCTGCCCCTGGATCCCTGCAGTGCCCAAGGCCAGGCTGGACAGGGCTTGGGGCAGTGGAAGGTGGCCCTGCCACCAGTCTCCCGGAGCACTGGAGCTCCAAATCCCCAAATCTGAGGCAGAGCCTCGGGAAGGGGCAGCTGGACCCACATGGACAGCCGAGGGTGTCTGAAACCTCTGCACTCACACTTTCTGCATTGACAGAACACAGAGCTTTGCCTTCAAGATTAGGGGCTGCTGCTTTCCCTGTCTCATTGCAAAGAAAGCTTTAAATTATCTCTGCTGAAGAAGAATTAGCACAGTTCATGTGAAGAGACCATTTTCAAGTGAATTTCATAGTGATTTAAACAGCATAATAGCAAATACAGCACAGCCAGAGCTTAGTGCCTGCACTCACCAAACTCTGGCAGGGACATAAACCCAAAACCTCGCATTTGATCCCCACATTTCCCGTGTGGAAAATCCCCTTGGTGTGCAGGGAACAACAGGGACAGGTCCTGTTTGGGGCTCCAGCAGCCCTTGGTGGCCTTTCGAATCCCTGCCAGGCAGAACCAGCCCATGGTTCCACCATTCTGGAGCATCCTTCCTGCCACCCCCCGAGCCTGCCAGGCCGCAGAGGCAGCGTGGCACTGCTGCAGGGCTGTTCCTGTGCTGGGTGACAGCAGGGCTGCTCCTGTGCTGGGTGACTGCAGGGCTGCCTCTGTGCTGGGTGACTGCAGGGCTGCCCCTGTGCTGGGTGACTGCAGGGCTGCTCCTCTGCAGCTCCTGAGCTCCCAGGGCACGGGGAGGCCCTGCAGGATGGGAGCAGCAGCAGCACAGGAGGCAGTTCCCAGGGAAGCAGCAGCAGCACCACACTGGGGCTGCTCCCGTGTCAAACCCAGCCTGCCCCGGCAGCTCCCTGCCAGTAAATGATTCCCCTGAGAGGATCTCAGCCTCTGCCAGCCAGCTGCACAGGGATATGGATACCTCTGGCTCTGCTGCCAGCACCAGGAGAACACTCTCTCGTTCCCTGCAGCAGGGCTGTGCCACCCGGCTGGGCAGTGTTGGGAATGCAGCTGAGCCCGGCGGGGAGAAATGCTGATGTCTGACTCCAGTGCAGAAGGCTGAACGATTTCTGTATTATAACTGTGCTATAATACATTAATATACTATTTAAAGGAGATACTAAAACTGCAAACCTACTTTTCTAACTACCATATCTAACTCACAACTCGTGCCCCTCTCTGAGAGTCCAGTCCCAGGTGGGTTGGATTGGCCACCAGGCCCAAACAATCCTCAACCCAGCACTCACCCCAGGGAAACAATTCTCCAAGCACATTCCACATAGGAAAAACAAGCAGCAGAAATAGGAATTGCTTTCTCCTTCTTTCCTCTGTGCTCCTCTATGAAAAAATCCTAAGAGAGATTGTGCCTGGCCCAGGCACAGGCTGCACCAGCCACCTCACCCCTGCCAGGGAGGGACAGACCAGCCCAGCCCAGCCCCAGGCCTGGCCCTGCAGAGCCACGGGACGGGCACGGACCCAGCAACGCACCCAGGGGGGCACAGAGCCCTGCCAGCCCCGGGACAGGAGGGAAGAGCTGCCCCAGGGCAGGGCTGAAGGCAGGGCAGGCTGGCAGGAGGCAGGGCTGGGCAGAAGGAGCCAGGAGGGAGCGAGGCAGAGACATCTTCATCCCACGGGAGCTGCCAGGGCAGCGAGCAGGTGCCCTCGCGCCAGGGGCAGATGGCACAGCGGGGAGCTGGAGAAGTTAATTAGCAGGAGAACTGAAAGCAGCAAGTGGCAGCAAGGTCGGGAGGATTGGCCAAAGCACTGGCCAGGATGGGAGCTGTGAGCAGGGGCTGGGAAATGTGAGCAGGGACCGGGGCCCTGTGCTCAGGGTCAGAGGGGGCCTGGGGGCACAGCATGGAGCCCTTTCCATGGAGAAACCCCTCCTGGAATCCTTCCTCAAGTCCTCTCCCCAAGCCACAAACAGGGACAATTTACACACAAAATTGAAATGTAGCTACACTGGCCCGTTACCTTCCCAGAGCAATGCTGATCTTTATTAACACATCCTGATTAGATGACCTTTAACAGCATCATGCAAAGAAGGTCATTTTAATGATTATTTTGCCTACAATTTAAATAATTATGCATTCTTCTAATAGCTCCAGCTATAATTAGGTTTGCCAACTGGAATACATTACATGGGCTGACTCTGGGTCCTGGAGGGCTCACTGTGGGTCAGACAGGCCCTGGCTGTGGGTCAGTCACACAGGGAGGGGCCTTTGGGCTGCCAGCCCCTCCTCACTAGCTCTCCCCTCAGGAGAGACCCCAGGAGCACAGGACATCAGTGAGGAACCAAAGTCCTGCCCTGCCTGCAGACCTGTGCAGCACAAACGCAGCCCCACGTCTGCAGCACCAGTGGCTCCAGCCACAGCTTCATTCCCTGCTGCAAGAAGCAATTAATCTTTCATTTCTCCCTGCTTGGAGACACTATCATGTGTAATTAGTCCTGTCTCCCAGATGGAAGCTCCTGCTCGGCAGCCTTGCCAAGGTTAAACACACAGCCACACTCCCACTCTCCTCAAGGAGGTTCAAACACAGCAGATCAAACAGAAACAGCCCAAAGTGGGAGCACTCAGCAGGGACAGAGACTCTGACATTTCCCTGGTCTCCAGGGATCCTGCTCTGCTCCCCAGGCATGCAGCACCAGCTGCCCCCTGCTTCTCCCTGCACACACCAACCTGCATCCCCTGCAGCCCTGCACACACCAACCTGCATCCCCTGCAGCCCTGCACACACCAACCTGCCTCCCCTGCAGCGCTGCACACACCAACCTGCATCCCCTGCAGCGCTGCACACACCAACCTGCCTCCCCTGCAGCGCTGCACACACCAACCTGCATCCCCTGCACACACCAACCTGCATCCCCTGCACACACCAACCTGCATCCCCTGCAGCCCTGCACACACCCACCTGCATCCCCTGCAGCCCTGCACACACCAACCTGCATCCCCTGCAGCCCCCCCTGAGCTTGCACAGTTCCAGCTCAGCAATTAGAATTACCCAGCTGTTAAAGTGCTAACACCCAGGTGCACCATAAACAGGTACAAAATGGTTTTCTCCTCAATTCCCCAGCACTGTGAAGACACAGAAATCAAGGAGCCAAGTTAGAAGATATTTTTCTTTCAACACATCTTTTATCCTTGCCTCCAGGTCTAGGCCATAGGGGAGGGCAGCTCTGGGCTCCCAGCTCAGGCTGCAGCATTCCTGCCCTGCCCTGCTCCCTTCCCTCTGCAGCTCAGCAGAACCACGGGCCCACTGCAGGGAGGAACCCACTGGGAGCTTTGACACCTGCAATAAAATCACAGAATAACGAGGTTGGAGAGACCTCTAAGATCATCAAGTCCAACCTATGCCCTAACGCCTCAACTAGACTATAGCACCAAGTGCCATGTAGATAAAATAAACTCCTTCTTTTTCCTCCCATGAATAAAACAAACTCCTTTCGGTGGGGCTCACTGGAGATTCATGTTCATGGAAGAACAGAAACCAGCCCTGTAAGCAGCACAGCCTGATGCCACATCGTGCCACAGAGCCACATCCTGTCACAGTGCCACATCTGCCATGGTGCCACACTGAGCCGCAGTGCCACATCTGTCTCGGTGCCACATCTGTCACAGTGCCACATCTGCCATGGTGCCACACTGAGCCGCAGTGCCACACCGTGTCACGGTGCCACATCTGTCACAGCAAAGGGCTGAAGGGCACTGCCAGCTCTCCATGGAGTGCGGCACACACGGGGACACCTGCCACGTCCCCACACCCCACAGAGGGACACACAGGGACACCTGCACTGCCCGGGTGGGCAGCTCGACCCTCCAGGAGGGGTCACCCCGGCACCATTCCCTCTCCCCTCAGCATTCCCAGCTCTCCTTGCCCCGTTGGGACTGAAACCGCTGGAGAGAAGGCCGGGAGGGGAAGGTGAGCATCGCCTCCCTCTCCTGCAGCCCCATCCCAAGTGACCTGCTCGGGGCCAGGGCCCAGGACACAGGCTGGGCACACAGGCACAGAGCCCTGCCCCTGGGCACACAGCCTGGGGTGCCCCGAGAGGAGCAGGGATGCTCCCGGTGTCCCAGCCCAGCCTCAGCCCCGCTCCAGGCAGGCAGCAGATCCTGCCCACGCCTCCACCGGCGGTCCCTGCTTGTCCCTGGCACAGGAAGCCCTCAGGAGCTTCAGTCCCGTGGGTGCCAGCAGTGCCACCCTGCCAGCCCGGCGGAGGAAGGGCCGTGGGTGCTGAGCTGCTCCTGTGGAGGCTGCGCAGAGAGCGGCTCGGGAGGGGGAGCAGCCACCAGAACAAACCTCACAAGGGCTGTGCCCCCGAGAGCCTCGTCCCCCAGAGCCCCTCTGGGCACAGGCACAGCCCATTTCGGGAGCCAAGGCGTGTTATCCCCCCTCCCGCAGCTGCTGCGCCGCCTGCTCCCACCACTGCTATTTTTAAGGGTGAGAGCTGTGGTGCTCTGTCGTTTCCCCACTTTGAGCTCCTCTCCCCCAGCAGTTCCCCGAATTAGCCAGTCTCCACGGGAAAGCACAGAAGCTGCCAGACAGACCCGAGTGCTGCTGGCAGAGCCGGGCTCCCAGCTCCGCTGCCCCAGGCCAGGGCATCCACCGGGAGGGAAATCCTGGGGGAAACAGGGCTGGGACTCGGCTAGCAACTGCTGGGATGCTCTTCTGGGACAGCAGGACATGGGGGCACGGCGGCAGGCTCAGCCCCAAAGGGAAATCTCTGCCTCCCCACGTGTTCCCTCCGCTCTGCTGAGCACAAGTTACTGCTGCTTTGAGGGTTTTAAGTATCCCAGAAACCCGGGATAGAGTCCCCACAGCCACAGAACCCCAATCCCTGAAGGGAAGTAAAAGCCTTGTGGATGTGGCAGGTGGGGATGTGGGGTATGGTTGGACTTGGTGGTTCCTGGAGGCTTTTCCAACCTGCACCATGCCATGAACTGTGAAAGAAGCACCCAGGAGTGCCCCAGCCAGGGGGGCTGCAGGAGCAGCTTGCCCAGGAGCTGTGCAGCCCCGCAGCCCCCCCCAGCCGTACTCACATCCGAGGCAGGGCCCTTGTCCGCGCCGGGGCAGGAGAAGGTGACGAATTCATGGCACCGCTTGTGCACCACGAAGCAGCAAACTGCAGAGAGAGCACAGGGACAGGGTCAGGGCACGCACTGGCACCAAGAGATACCAAACAAACACAGCCCTGGGGGTTCTGAGCCGTCCCAGGAGGCTTTTTAAGCAAACCCCTGGCAGATTTTTAAACCTTATGGAATCTCCCGAGCCAGAGCAGGCATTTTGGAAAAACTCAGCAGAACAAAGTGTTGAGCGGACGTCAGAGGAGGGCTGGGAACAATTCTGTTCCTCTGAGCTCATTGTCACTCGTGGCACACGCTCTGAGGTCACTGCTGGGAATAAAAAGGGAGAATCTGGCGTTCGCGAGTATCTGAGCTGAAAAGTGCATGTGGCCAAAAATGGAAGATTGTACCCAAGGGAACAGGTGGGCAATTTTCCTCCCACAGCTCTGCTTTTCTCCAGCATCTCCCCAGCCCCCGTTTGCCAGACCAGAAGACACGCACGTCTCCCTCCCCTCACACACGTCAGTGCCAGCCTTGCCCTTCTGGGAGCGGCTCAGGGAATCGAGCCTGGCATGCCACTGCCCAGGCTTCCAAGCAGAGGTATCCAGAGCTAAACCCCCGTCCCCCAAACCCCCAGCCCCCAAACCCCTATCCCCCAAACCCCTATCCCCCAAACCCCCAGCCCCAAACCCCCAGCCCCAAACCCCCAGCCCCAAACCCCTATCCCCCAAACCCCTATCCCCCAAACACCTATTCCCCCAAACCCCCAGCCCCAAACCCCCAGCCCCTTTCAGCACATGCCCAGCTGAAGTTGCCGGCCCTGTTTCTGCAGTTTGTGCAGCCAAAGCTCTGTATTTCAAGGCTGATTTTTTCCCTCAAATACCAAATAAGCACCTCTCTTCTGGTGTCAGACCCTAAAGAATCGTTTGTCACTGTAGGTACCTTCCACTGATGGCCCAGCCCCTCCTGCACGGGTCTCAGCCCCTGTGGCCCTGCAGCTGGGGGTGGCAGCACTGCTGGGGCTCCCCAGGCTGGGAACGGAGCTGCCACCTCACAGCCGTGTCACCTCTGCCACCTCCTGCCTGTCAGGGCTGGCCTGGGCCCCTGCACTCTGCACCCACGCACCAGGGATGCCCAGCTCCGAGCACCCATGCCATGCCCAGCTCTGAGCACCCGTGCCATGCCCAGCTCTGAGCACCCGTGCCATGTCCAGCTCTGAACATCCGTGCCATGCCCAGCTCTGAGCACCCGTGCCATGCCCAGCCCCACCCAGGGAGGCCCCGAGGGAGCCCAGGCAGGAGCGGAGCAAAGGGAACAAGCCCTGGTCCTGAGGGCAGCCCGGGCACCCCTCTGCTCTGCCCCAGGGCTCTCCCTGCCAGCACACCCGTCTCCCAGGAGCTGCCACTGACTGAGCGCCTCTGCACCATGAGGAGCAGGACTGAGCTTTGAGCACAGGAACCAAACTGAGCTGTGCAGGAACGGAGCAGGTTCCAGCAGCAGCAACGTGGGATTTTTCCTAAGGAACGAGGAAAAGCCAAGTGGCATCAGCCATGAACCTCACAATCCCCTCTTTGTGCCCTGCCACATCCAGCTGTAAATTCATTTTCCTTCTCACATTTCCCATTGTGAACAAAAACAAACCCAGAAGGTTTTAGAGGCAGAACAGCTGCCAACAGCTCTCTCCTCGCAGGACCTCTCACTTGCTTTTCTGAGTCAAACAAACAAACATTTTCTTGAAAGCATTGCTCACCATTTCTGTCATTTGTATATGGAGACAGAAGCATCTGGGAAGCAGGAAGGGAGGAATCAGAACTCCATGAGCAGGGATTTCTCCTGAAGCGTGTGCACAGCTCAGGGAGCTCCGTGCCACCCCGAGCACGGGCGCTGCTGCCTGAGGCCGGGCAGTGCTGGCAGCTCCCCACTGGAGCTGGGATCCTCACAGCCCAGCAGGGAACACCGAGGGACTCCAGGCTGAACTGCCATGGGGTGCTCTGGGTGGGAAGGGACCTTAAAGGCCACCCCTGGCAGTGCCAGGCCAGGCTGGACAGGGCCTGGAGCAGCTGGGACAGTGGAAGGTGTCCCTGCCATGGCAGGGGTGGCACTGGGTGGGCTGCAAGGTCCCTTCCCACCCAAAGCATTCCAGGATTCTGTGATTCTAGTCTGTGCAAGGGTGATCCAGGGGAGCTGGGCAGGCAGAACACAGAACACCTCCGTGCCTGGGCAAGGCAAAGCAGAGCTCTCTGCCCCAGCAGCACCCAGCGCCTCCAGGGGAGCTCCAGGATCCACTGCAACATCCCCAGTGCTCAGCTGAGTGCTCCGGGCACACACAGGGAAAACAGGGCCGGCAGAATGGATCAGGAGCAGGACCTCATGCCAGCAACCCTGCCCCAGCTCCTGAACGTGACCTGCCCCATGGAAGTGAGAAGTGCAGAGATCTGTGCACCGCCGTGCCCTCCTGCTGTCATCACACCTCAGCAGTTCCAGCCCAGGTCTTTGTCAGTTTAGAAACCCCAGCACGAGCAGCAGCTTTCCCAGGCTGCTAATTAGACAGCTAATTTGTAAATCTTATTATTTGGGTAATAAAGTTATCAAATCCCACTGGTTGGCTACAAACATCCCAAGCCATTTGTACACAAGAATGAAAGATGAACCTTTCCCATTCCTTACTGCATAATGCAGGAGGGTTTCCTGGCCCTGAACTCTCCTTCAGGCCAGCTGCAGAGCAGGGCCTGGGGAGATCTGTCCTGGGAGAAGGGAAGGACACAAACCCTGTGGTTTTTTATCTGCAAGAGGCAGAGCCCTGAGCCCAGCAACCCTCCACAGCCTTAGGAGATCTGCTGGAATGCACATTTTTCACAGCAGCCCCAGCACAGTGTCTCAGATCTGAAAAGATCTGCACCAAAACATCAGGGCAAGATCACACACCTCTGTTCCCTGGGATCCTGACACTGTCCTGGGAGGAAAGATCTCCTGGAAGGTTGGGTTTGCGAGCTAAGAAACCACAACAGCAGCAGGGCATTCTCAAACCCTGGGAAAAGTCTTATTGTGGGGATTGAAAAGAGAGAAAATGCTAGAAAATGCTAACACTGTATTGCTTAAATATATATATATATACAAACACACAGAGAAAGGCGTCTTGGCTTAAAGCACTGCTCAAAAGCCCTCCAGAAACACCACGGAGCAGCTTCCCTGCTGATTCCAGAAGCTGCCAATGGGGAAAACCACATCCAAAGGTGCTGCGGGCATGTGAAGGCTGCAGGACACACGTCTGGCTGCACTCCAGGGGCTGTCCCTGGCAAGGGAGCAGCAGAGCAGCCCCAGCTGCAGCTGCACGAGGCCCGGGGTGTCCCTGGCATGCAGCGGGCCAGGCTGCAGAGCTGCAGCTGCGAGCAGCAGCCTGAGGCCAGGGTGGTTGGCTGCTGCATGGCTTGGAGCCGTGCTGCAATTCTGCAGCATTCCCAGCCCAGCCCAGCCCTGCTCCTGCAGGATATTCCTGCCTCTCCTGGCTGCAGCGTGGGAGCAGCCTCAGGAGCTCCCTGCCATCCCTCACCTCACACATCGGCTGCTTTGCCCAGAGGTGCCCAAAGATTTACTCCTGGAATACAAAATCCCTCCTGGGCTGGGGTTTCTGCCTGGGAAAAGCCCCTGGAGCTCCGAGCTCCTCATCCAGGCAGCCCTGGGAGCCCCAGGCCAGGCTGGAGGCAGAGCTGCCCTGCCCAGAGCCCAGCCCGTGCCAAGCAGCCCCTGCAGGGACAGGCAGCCCATGAGCAGCCCTGCCATCCACTGCAGCTCCACTCACTCCTCTGATTTCACTGCCTGAACTCCTTGTCCCGGTGTTCCCAAGAAGGCAATAATCAATTTCCCCCAGTCCTTTGCCGAATGAATAATTCAGGGATGTCACCTCTGCTGCCTCCTGGGCCAGCCCTTCCCAGAACACACATTCCCACCCAGGGAAGCCTTTGTTCCTCTCATCAGGCCAGGAGAGGTCTGGAAGTACGGGAACAGTCCTGGATGCAGCATGTCAAGTGGGGGAGACAGATGGAGAGTTAACAGAGACAGAAGAAGGTTCAAGCAAGATTCATCTAAAAATCAAAGCCAGGGAGGAGTTCAAGCATCCCCAGGGAGATGACGGAGCTGAGCTTTGGCAGATGGCTCCAATATCAGGGAAGCTCAAAGATTATTTCAAGCATATCTCAGTGTGTGGCTGCTCCCTTCCAACCTGTGGATATTCTCATTTGGATAACGTCTCCGCTTCCCAACGAACAACAGCTTTAGGAAACAGCTTGGAATTCAGATTAGCAAAACTGAAGGAAATAACACCAAAAAAAAAAAAAAAAAAAAAAAAAAAAGAAGAAAAAAAAGACTTTTTAAGGGAGCTTTGTGCTGCTCCACCTACGCTGGGCAAACCCCTGGGGTCAGAAGCACCAGCCTGGCCCCGGTGAGGGACCAAAATGTGCCCCAGCCAGAGCTGCCCACGACTTTCCATCCCATGCTAAAAAAATCACACTCACGACATCAAACAGAGGCAGTGAAGCATGGTAATCACAAAATAAGGGGAAAGAAGGGCTCCAGGAGGGGAAGTCCTGAATTTCTGACAGCGCTTTACAGCTTTTAATCACTTAAAGCACACAGTGAGGGAAGCTGAGCTAAAATTTGTGCTCTTTTTTAATCCCCAGCTTTGGTTAAAAGCTTTCTGGGGTTCTTACAGCACAGCAATCCTCAGCTCCTCAGAGCTCAGCTGTTCTCCCACTGCCAGCTCCAGGGAGGCGGTGAAAGCAGCTGTGGTCCCTGGGGATTTCTGGGCAGCACCAGGAACAGCTCCGGGGACTGGGGTGGGATGGGGCAGGGCCGGGCTCATGGCCTGGGCGTTCCCAGGCTGCAGGACAAAGGCAGGGACACCAGGGATGCCACCATCAACGCCAAGCTGCCTCAGAGCTGGGTACGAGTGGCACCTGCAGCTTTTGGGTAAGGCCTGGTCAGCAGAACCCCTGTGGGTCCAGTGCTCCCAGTGCCCCCAGTGCTCCCAGTGCCCCACACTGGGTCAGCAGAACTCCTGTGG